CAGCATGAGCAAATCAGTCACAGTTCTCTTTAATCAGGGAACTACTAATTCTAGCTTAGATAGTAAGGAGAGGATATCCCTAAGCTCTGCCTCATCGCTTTTCTGCTCCTTATATGACTTAGCAAAATCTGTTTAAATGTTGTGTGACATCTAGTTTTCATCAATGAATTTTATTTCAGCTCATCGTTAAAGGTCATTCTGTGTTCCTGTTGAAGCAGTTTTTTCCTCAGGTTCGTTGCATAATTTTTCTCTACTTCGATACCTTTCATATCGTTAGGCTGAGGTGCGCAACTTGGACTACACTTGTTTGGACTTTCGAATCCGTGATGAGCAGAAACGCTGGAGAACTTTTCCACTTGATCAGTATGCTCTCATTGAATTGCTAGTTCCTCAGCTGAGGTGGGCAACTTTAAACAAGAATATTATTAATATTATCAAATTCACTGACTTGAAATATGATTTAGGCTATAATTAGACGGCCCTTCATTTCTAATTGATTAATGATTGTTCATCTCCAGTGCCACGGTCGTGGATGTGAAAAAGATGTCAATAACAACAGAAGGTGAAGGTTCAACCAGGCTTCTTGCACTAGTAGTGGATCTTCTGGACACATTGCTTGAAGACTGGTATGTCTTGCAATACCACATTAACCTTTTATTTGTTAGTAAAGTTTTGAAATGTAGGTATCCAGCGATAGGTACTCGCTTCGTGCACTCATCTGAGGGTGATCTATTGGTGAATAGATTTGTTCCTTGTTCCAAATGTGCATGCGATATCGCAGCCGAGGCTCAACGCGCTCATGACGATGCAGAAGTTTCTCACCGGAAAAGTAGCAGGTTAGTTGTACTTTCAGAAACAAAAACGGATGGGGGTTAAGCTTTATTTTAACTTCTAACGTACATGGATTTGTGAGATAACTCACTGATCTATCCTTAAAGTGAACGTGCAGTTCGTGGCTCGAAGACTACTGGTGACATTTCAACTTTGTATGTTATCCACTGTTTTTCGATAGAGGAATGTATGCTGGCAGGTATGGACCTTCCTTATCTCAAGGTTGTCTTTGGGACACATAGGTAACTATCTTCCAGGCCGTGAGTATGGATGGCTTGAGTGTCCTTCACACGGTGGCGTACGCATGAGGGACATTGCTCCGGATACCGTAAGTGAACTTTTATTACCATATAAACATCTTGCGTCTATGGAATTTCTCATTTCAGGTTTTCGTCGATATCGAATCTTCTCTTGTCATTGCAGCTGATCAGTTGAGACGCGGTCGGCTACTAGGAAGAGGCGCTTTTGGTTTTGTATTTAGGGCCACCGTCAAACTGCAGGTAATGTTTTTTGTTTTTATATTCCAAAATAAACGGATGAGTTGCTATCTTTTCATGCTTCTGCAAAGCAATTTTTAGTAGTTTCTAATGGAACAGATATATAGATAGAATTTTCTAATAACTTCATGTTCTGAGAAACATAGATGTTCAAGTAGAAAGTGATCTCTACTCTAGGAACCATAGAGAGCTCTGAAACGTGTTCTGTTGTATCATAGCGGAAGAACACTGCGATGTATTTCTACGCGTAAGCAGTAAAACATTCCCTAAGTGTAATGTGCCTGCAAAAATGTATTGATGTATTAAGGCTTATTCAAAGAGCAAGAATTTGTGAATGAACTTTATCTCGACAATATTTTCTACAATCCACTTTTTGCGCATAATTCTTCCTTTTTTTTGCTTGTGGCTCAAAGTGCTAGAAGAATTGGGGAACATAAAATGAACGGTTTTGACGTAGGTGA